AGTATTGTCCTTCACAAATAGATTAAGGTGTGCCATTAAATTGAATCATCTATGGCCCTCACAAATACTATGATTAGATATTAGAATAAATATCCATAGAAAAGCCTTTAGGCACGTTTAAAATACAATTGTGATTGTGTACACGTTCGCGTGGCATAATCATGATTCTAAAAACCAATTTGGAGTATGCATTCGCGCAACTTAGATCAAACTTTTTCGTAATAATAAAATTATTCTCAATATAGTCCGAGATTTGCCATTCACAGTTTAATCATTCATGGCCCTCATGTTAATTTCATAACCTAGATATAAAAAATGACAAATGCTCATGTTGCTTTAGGCCCGTTTAATGTATCATTCTGATTGTGGACACGTGACATAATTATGATTCTAAAAACAAAACCAGAGTATGAATTCGCGCAACTTTGGCCAATTTTTTTAATAATAAAGCTTTATTAATTGTGGACACATTCACGTAAAGTGATTTTTGACGCGCCAGATAAATGGGTACATGTGCGCGTGACATGTTTTAAGATAATTTCTTAATTAAAAAAGGCAAATATACATAGGTTCTAAAATCAGTAGTTAAACATTTTTAATAAGCAAAGTATGATCAAAGAGACCGTGCTAGAAGCACAAAACTCGGGAATACCTAACACCTTCTTCCGGGTTAACAGATTTCCTTACCCGGATTTCTGTGTTAGTAGACCGTAAATAGAGTCAATTTTCTCGATTCAGGATTTTAAATCGGTGACTTGGGACACCATAAATTATCCCAAGTGGCGACTCTAATTTTTAAATAAGTAATACCGTTTTGATTGTCTCTTAAATTGGAAAAAACTCCCTTACACTCCCTTCCGGGGTAGCAAAAAAGAGGTGTGACAACAAGGAGGGAAAATTTTATGAACACACCTTACAATAAGGCGTGTGAGATATTGGATAAGATGGCAGATACTTCCTCAGCTTGGCAAAGTCGAGCTAATATGCCACAAGGTGACCCCACTGTCATCCACTTGCACAAAGAGCTCCGTGATCGTGGCCAGGCAATAGCAGAGTTAACTACAATAATGAACCAGTTGGCAAAAACTCAATCGCAACAAGTTCATGCTCCTAGACAAGCAAATGCTATGGAAGGTGTCAATATGTTGGTAAACAAGAGGCGACAAAGAGGTCAACAAGGTCAAGGTAGTCTGAATTAATATGAGCAAGGTAGTGGTGGTTTCAATCAAGATGATGGCTATGATAGGCAAAATAAAGAAGTGCAGTATGTGAAAAATTACCAAGGACAAAGGAGTAATGCTCCTAACCAACAACAATAGTGGAGATCCCAAGGAAATTAGGGGAATCAAAACGAACAAGGCAATAGTAATCGGGGGAATCAATACAACAAGGCAATAGCAATTAGGAGAACAACAATCAGAATTGGGGCAACCAGAACAACCAGGGCAACTAGAGTAGCAACAACAACAATTGGGAGGAAACAACAACCAAAAGGGTTGGAATAATGGTAACCAAGGGAATCGGGGGCAAGACTTTCAAAGACGTCCGATGTTTCAACAACCAAACAACCCACCTCTATTTCCGTCCCAAGGTCCCAGCTCGTCAAACAATGAGATGGGAAGGGTTGAGATGATGTTTGAACAAATGATAAAGAAGAACACCGACTCCGATGCCCAGTTGGCATCCCATAATACTTCAATCCGGAATTTGGAGGTTCAACTTGGCCAGATTTTGCAATCTTTGGATACTCATCCTAAGGGGGCTCTACCTAGTGATACGGTAGTAAACCTTAAGGGTGGGAACAACACCGGGCATGCAATGTAGGTGATTACTAGAAGCGGTCGAGGTGGTGATGTGAATACCTCCAAGCAAAAGGAAATTGTGAGTAAAGAGGTTGAAGTACAAGATAATGATGCTCCTATGGTTGATGAGCAAGTTAGTGAAGAGAATGTGAATGCGGGAGTAAGAATTGATATTAATAATAATGAGGTGGAGACTCAAGATGATGTGAACCCGTCTAGAGAACACATAATAGACATACCAAAAATGGTAGTGCCCAAGGCCAAGGCTCCCTTACCAAGGCCTCCTCTACCTTACTTTCAAAGGCTTGCAAAGCAAAAGAATGAGAACCAATTTAGAAAATTTATTGACAAGATGAAGAGCTTATCAATCGATGTTTCTTTGGTGGAAGCTATTGAGCAAATGCCGGGTTACGCCAAGTTCATGAAGGACTTAGTGACTAAAAACCGATCCATGAATTGTGAGACCATCAAAATGACTCACCAAGTAAGTGCAATTGTGCACTCGATGGCTCCAAAGCTTGAAGATCCTGGCGCTTTCACCATTCCATGTACCATTGGGAGTGCGGATTTTGCAAAGGAATTGTGCGATGTGGGTGCAAGTATCAATTTGATGCCTTACTCTGTTTTCAAAACTTTGGTTATTGGTCAACCGAGGGCTACTTCAATGAGGTTGCAAATGGCAAATACAACTATGAACAGGCTGTTGGGTATTATTGATGATGTTCTTGTTCGGGTGGACAAGTTCATTTTGCCTGCTGACTTTGTGATTTTGGATTGCGAGGTTGATTATGAGGTTCCGATCATATTGGGAAGACCTTTCCTTGCAACCGGAATGGCCTTAGTTGATGTGGAAGCATGGGAGCTCACCTTCCGGGTGGGTGATGAAAAAGTGGTCTTTCATGTGTGCAAATCAATGTAGCAGCCAAACAGTACTGAAGTGTGCTTTTTTGTGGATCTTATTAAGAAAGTGATAGTTGATGATACTAGTGAAATAATCAATGTGGAGGACTCTCTAGAAGCGGTTTTGTTGAACCTTGATGCCAATAAGGATGTAGGCCGGGTGGAGTGTGTCAATGCTTTGCTTGGAATGGGCTCTTACTCTTATGAGCCTCGAAAGCTCTCTTTGGATCTTGAGAATAGAAAGAATCCACCAGCAAAGCCCTCAATCATGGAACCTCCCATGTTGGAGTTAAAGTTGTTACCTCCATACCTCAGGTATGAATTCTTAGGCCCTAGTTCAACTTTGCCAGTTATTCTTTCCTCTTGTCTTACTAACATGTAGGTAGATGCCACATTAGCGGAGATCCAAAAATGGAAGAAGGCAATTGGATGGACTCTAGCTGATATCTGTGGGATAAGCCCCGCCTTTTGCATGCACAAGATGATTCTTGAAGATGATGCCAAGCCCTCCGTTGAACATCAAAGGAGGTTGAATGAGGCTATGCAAGAGGTTGTCAAAAAGAAGGTGATCAAGTGGTTGGATGCAGGGGTTGTGTACTCCATCTCCGATAGTTCTTGGACTTCGCCGGTGCAATATGTGCCGAAGAAGGGTGTACGCGGAGAAATCAGAAGACTTGATTTCTCGCTATCAAGACATTTCGGAAGCATGCCCCGGAAACTCTCGGGAGGGAGGCCGCGACCTAGTTCTCGGCCTTGGGGCTTGTTGAATCCCGACTCAAAGGAAATGAAGAACGAAGTCAGGACAGAGGGGGAAGCCCCCTAGGCACATGGCTACATCTGACAGGCCCAGCCTATCCGGAGCCTATGCTGAGGCATCACGTTTGTCACACCCCTTTTCTAACCCACCAAATAATAATAATAATAATAATAATAATAATAATAATAATAATAATAATAATAATAATAATAATAATAATATGTGTATGGGTTAAAAAGTTATTGCAATTAAAGTGAAAAAATTTGAGTAGGGATTATTTTATTGTTCAGAGTCGCCACTTGGAATTGATTTTTTCGGTGTTCCAAGTCACCATTTATTTGAATCCCTAGTCAAAGGATGGTTTGACTCCATTTTATCGGTGCACGAAAATAAAGTTCGGGTAAGGAATTTTGCTGACCAGGGAGAAGGTATAAGGCATTCCTCGAGTCCCATGGTTCTAGCACGGTCGCTTTATTGACTTAAACTTGGTTTGAATTAATTTTGGACAAACTGTGATTTATATTATTTTCATGTTTTACCTATCCTCTTTTATCTCTTGATTATTAGAAAAATTAAAAAATATTTTTGAATAATAAGATGTCATAACCACACTACGCAAGCGAATGCGTGATCGACGAAATTTATTATTTAGTCATAACGGCGCTACGCAAGCGAATCCGCAGTCATGACAGACAATTGTTAGCACGTTATTTACTTTTGAAAAAAAAAATCCCTACAATTGTGTTTGGAGGAAACATTAACCCTCTTTTTTCGGAAAATTTATTAAATGTCACTACCACGCTACGCAAGCGAATCCGTGATTATGACAAAAGATTTATAAATTAATTAAAACTATTAAATATGACATGAAATTGATGAATTAACTTATTAAAAGTTAAGCGTCACGCTACACAAGTGAGTCCGTGAAGTTAAAGCGCACGTACTATTTGCCTAGCGTTTAAATTAATTAAAAGGAAACGAGTTAATTAAAATAGTAGAAAAATCTGATATTATTATTATTATTTTTTTCGAGCTTTATAGTTGGGAAAAATTATGCAAATAAATGTTGGACCAACTTTATCTATTTTAAAAGAAATGAGCCAACTTCTTGTTAAAAGAAAAAAAAAGGGGGCCAGCTTGTATAGAGCTTTTGGACTGCTGGAATTTATTATTAAAATGGGCCAAGAAATGGATTTCAATTGGCCCAATGCTATATAGAAGAAAAGGGGTAATTTTGTTGTTTAAAGGTAAATGTGCCAGCTTTTATTTTTGATTCAATGAGGCCCAAAGTTGATACAATCTTAGCTCTTTACTTAGTTTGTGTTCATGATCATTAACTACATAGTCACAATTGTATAAACGCCCACTTTACAAAATAGCCACTTTTGCAAATCCGGCAAAAATGGCCAGATTCACAAAGATATTATCACAGCATTCCTAGAAGCATATATTGGCAGTGAAATTCCAGCAACTAAATCGAACTCATGCTATGTGTTATACACCTAAAGTCATTCATGGCATACTTAGCATTGTTACTCGGATACAATAGCTTGAAAACAAACTTAAAAATCCATAAACGACTTACATATCACATTCAAAAAACTTACAACTCAATATTCAAGTATTATGAAGGACTATATTAACATTATCACATGCTTGATACATAACATTAACATACAAAGCTCATTTGTTGTCGAACTATTCATCACATCAAACACATTTAAATGGTGCAGCATGTTCAAGTTGTTCCCATTGCTAAAAATACATACATTACGAGTCTTAAAGGATTACCTGGATAGAAAAAGGATAAACAGTAGTTCAGCAACTAAAGCAGCATAAAAACAATAGCAAAACAATAGAGAACCAGCAGCAAATCCGTGTTAAAACAACCAGAAAACTTAGAGAAAAGCCCAGAAACGAACTCTAAAGAGGACTTATACTTTTCTAAAAGTTTGAACCCTAAGATTCACTCCTATAGATCACAATTTCAGCTTACTTTTCATGTGTTCAATTGCTGAAATTTTTTATGTTTTTGTGCGTTCGAGGTAATTCTAAAAGCTCTATAGAAGTGTGATGGCGTCCCCCCTAAAATGAGGAAAGGGCAGCCCTTAAATAGGCAAATTTCGACAGATTTTGGTTCACCAAAAATCTGTCCGACAAAAACTTACATTATGTTCTAAACACTATTCAAAATCTGTCCAAAGGTCAAATGAAATCTACTATGTCAGAAACAAGGAGAAAAAGTGTCATTTCAGCAACCCTAACTAGTAAAAGTAAGCTACTAGCACCCTATTTGTGATGAAATAACATAAACTTCAGATTTTAACAACATCTATCACCCTATTGATTCAAACTAAACCAAGTATTAAAACATGTAATTAAACTTCAATACATGTGTTATGAAGCAATCGTAAGCAAACGAAAATTGACTATTAAAGCCAAACAGAATGCATGCTATTGCTGAAGCGATTTAATAAAACCAATTAGACAAAGATTATCAAAAATGGATTAAATGAAGAAACAAGATGGAAACTAACTCTAACTAAAAAACTAAAAAATCAGAAAATTAATAACGGGGCAAAGGATTACGATTCTACCACATACTCGAGCATCCCGGAAATGATGATAGGTAGTGGTACGACTTCAGGCAAGCTTCTATTGTTGATATTCTTGAAACCAAATATTCCTATGAATCTGAGTCCGGTTTCAACAAGATCAATGACACAACCTTGCTCGAGGCCAGTTTGAAAAGTGACACAACCTTGCCCGAGGCCAGTTTGAAAAGAGAAGCGAGAGGCAGTGGCGGCAGAGGGGTGACGCACCGGCAGCAGTAGGGGAAGATGCCGGCGGTGGATGGGTTTTTTCGGATTTTGAGTTGGATATATGGAAAGAGGGGGAGAAGACGAGTCAGGTGGTGTAAAATTTTCGGAGTTTGTAGGTGGTGGGCGGTGGCTAAGGTGTCGTTTTAGCTTAGATCTACGGAGATTGAGAAGGGTTATGGGATTTTGGGGTTTGGATTCATGGAGAGGAGGTTGAGCGGAAGAAGTGGTGAAATTTTGGGGCGGATTGGAGGTCGGCCACCGCGGTGGGCGATTTTCGGCGGTAACAATGGGGTGGCGGCGGCAGCTTGGGGGGAGAGAGAAGAGGGACTGATGAGAGGGAAAGAAGAGAGAGGAAATAAGGGGGAAATGAGGCAAATTTTTGGAGATTTTAGGCTTTAAATACCTAGGATGAAGATCAAACTAGGACCTTTGGATTAAATCAAGATGGGTGGATGAGATTGAATCTTGTCACTTAACCAAAACGACGTAGTTTCAAGACAAAACTATGTCGTTTAAGCTCTTCTTGGTAGCCCCCTTTTGGACTGGATTTGGGCTCTTTGGGCTCAAATTTTGGGCCAATTTTGGCACAATTTTTATTAAATTACACTAGCTCAATCCCTGCCCCATTTATCAAACCATTACTCAACTCTTAAAACCTACACATACACAAATAAGAACAAACACACACACACACACACATACATACATACATACATACATACATATATATATATATATATATATATGCAAAAATTAGGCATTTACAGCTGTCTCTCTTTGCTCGAGAACATGAAGAGTTTTCATGCAAAGACAAATAAATGCGATGGATAATTTTTGCTCACATTCACTCTAGTGGAATCATTTTGAAAAAGGTGGTGACCGAACCTTGCTTCTGAGGTTGGCTACATATCCTTGGCTATAAAGAAATTAGGTCAGTGTAGTTCTGGGAAAATTTGGTAGGAGGGACTAACAGATAGTGGAGTTAAGACTGTTGTTGCTGTTACTCTTGCCGTTACTGCTTCTTACATCAAAAGAAAAAGAGAAGAGCACTACATATGTCTGCAAACTAAGAGTACAAAAATTTCTATGCACGTGTCTTCTGGAGTCAAATCTTGATTCTTGACCTGCTCGCTTGTGTTGACCTTAGATTGGATCTTAATTCTTTTGAACAAAAGATTATGACTCAATCTCGATGGCTTACTTTCTGGATCAGAATTTGAGAAGGTGAATCTCGAGAAGCTGGGTTGCTGACACATTATCAAAGCTAAACTCCGACTATCTTGTGATCGAAGGATTTCTTTCTTCTGATGAGAAACTGAAACTGCAAGCTTTAATCGTCACTTGTGCTATACGGTAGAGCCTACAAAGCCATCAAAGACAAACAAAAATGTACAAAATTTTTCTGCCTATGTCTAGCGCTAGAAAATTTTTATGAGTTATTAGAGAAATCTATAAATTATCTAATTTATTGAAAAGGCAGACAGAAACAGTAGTACAAACTAGCTAAAAAGGGATAAAAATTGGTAACAATTGATTGTGTAACCAGGGATCGGTACCCCGCACTACTAAAAGGAAATGTAATCAGGGGCTGGTAACTTCTCTTACTAGAAGAAAATAGAATCGGGTGTTAGCTCCATGCATTATTGATGAAGTGTTGAATCCTTATAGGTGAAAAAAGGTTCGATCTGAGTTAAACTGTATTAAACAACCTGAACGAAGATTACTTCTACCCAGAACTACGAACTGGATCCCCCTAAGCGAAACGGTTCTACCTGGGTTAAGCTACGTAAAACACCCTGAGCAAAGAGTACTTCTACCCAGAAACTATGAGATGGATACCCCTAGGCAAAACGGTTCTACCTGGGTTAAGCTACGTAAAACACCCTGAGCAAAGAGTACTTCTACCCAGAAACTATGAGATGGATACCCCTAGGCAAAACGGTTCTACCTGGGTTAAGCTACGTAAAACACCCTGAGTGAAGAGTACTTCTACCCGGAAACTATAAGCCGGATCCCCCTAGGCAAAATGATTCTACCTGGGTTAAGCTACGTAAAACACCCTGAGCGAAGAGTACTTCTACCCGGAAACTATGAGCTGGATCCCCCTAGGCGAAACGGTTCTACCTGGGTTAAGCTATGTCAAACACCCTGAGCGAAGAGTACTTCTACCCGGAAACTATGAGCTGGACCCCCCTAGGCAAAACGGTTCTACCTAGGTTAAGCTATGTAAAACATCCTGAGCGAAGAGTACTTCTACCCAGAAATAATGAGCTGGATCCCCCTAGGTGAAACGGTTCTACCTGAGTTAAGCTACGTAAAACACCCTGAGTGAAGTGTACTTCTACCCGGAAACTATGAGTTGGATCCCCTTAGGAGAAACGGTTCTACCTAAGTTAAGCTATGTAAAACACCCTGCGCGAAGAGTAATTCTACCTGAAAACTATGAGCTGGATCCCCCTAGGCAAAATGGTTCTACCTGGGTTAAGCTACGTAAAATACCCTGAGCAAAGAGTACTTCTACCCGAAAACTATGAGCTGGATCCCCCTAGGCAAAATGGTTCTACCTGGGTTAAGCTACGTAAAATACCCTGAGCAAAGAGTACTTCTACCGGAAAACTATGAGCCGGATCCCCCATGGCAAAACAGTTCTACCTGGGTTAAGCTATGTAAAAAAACCTTGAGTGAATAGTACTTCTACCTGGAAACTATGAGCTGGATGCCCTAGGCGAAATGGTTCTACCTGGGTTAAGCTACGTAAAACACCTTGAGCAAAGAGTACTTCTACTCAAAAAGTATGAGCTGGATCCCTCTAGGCGAAATAGTTCTTCTTGAGTTAAGCTTCGTAAAACACCCTGAGCGAAGATTACTTCTTCCCGAAAACTATGAGCTGGATCCCCCAAGGAGAAACGGTTCTACCTGGGTTAAGCTACGTAAAACACCCTGAGCGAAGATTACTTCTTCCCGAAAACTATGAGCTGGATCCCCCAAGGAGAAACGGTTCTACCTGGGTTAAGCTACGTAAAACACCCTGAGCGAAGATTACTTCTTCCCGAAAACTATGAGCTGGATCCCCCAAGGAGAAACGGTTCTACCTGGGTTAAGCTACGTAAAACACCCTGAGCGAAGATTACTTCTACCCGGAAACTTTGAGCTGGATCCCCCTAGGCGAAACGGTTCTACCTGGGTTAAGCTATGTAATACAACCTGAGCGAATAGTACTTCTACCCGAAGACTATGAGCTGGATCCCCCGAGGCGAAATGGTTCTACATGAGTTAAGCTACATTAAACACCCTGATCGAAGAGTACTTCTGCCCGGAAACTATGAGCTGGTCCCCCTAGGCTAAACGGTTCTACCTGGGTTAAGCTTCGTAAAACACCCTGAGAGAAGAGTACTTCTACCCGGAAACTATGAGCTGCATCCCCCTAGGCGAAACGGTTCTACCTGGGTTAAGCTATGTAAAACAACCTGAGCGAATAGTACTTCTACCTGGAAACTATGAGCTGGATCCCCTAGGTGAACCGGTTCTACCTGGGTTAAGCTACGTAAAACCCCTGAGCGAAGAGTACTTCTACTCGAAAAGTATGAACTGGATCCCCCTAGGCGAAATAGTTCTACTTGAGTTAAGATTCGTAAAACACCCTGAGCGAAGATTACTTCTACCCAAAAACTATGAGCTGGATCCCCCTAGGCAAAACGGTTATACCTGTGTTAAGCTACGTAAAACACCTGAGCGAAGAGTACTTCTACTTGGAAACTATGAGCTGGATCCCCCTATGGAAAAAGGTTCTACCTGGGTTAAGCTACGTAAAAACAACCTAATCGAAGAGTATTTCTACCTGGAACTATGAGCTGGATCCCTATAGGCAAAAAGGTTCTACCTGCGTTAAGCTGCATAAAAACAACCTTAGCGAAGAGTACTTCTACCCGGAACAATGAGCTGGATCCCCCTAGGTTAAAAAGTTCTACCTGGGTTAAGCTACGTAAAAATAGGAGGTGTGAACAATAGTGCTGTATGCCGAAAGTAAAAGAAAAATGGAGATTTTAAGGAGCTTACATTTGGTGACATTCGTTCTTTTAGAATCACCATTCTGCATGTTGTGTTCCTTCTTCAAACAAAGAAATATTTGTGAGTTTTCAAAGTGGTGGTTGGTTTTGTGGCCTTGATTGTTTTGATCACTTTATCTCGGCCCTTTCAACTGAAACAGGTTGCTTCCTGAATAACGATTGCCTTTCTGACTCTAGAGAAACTCTAGCTTTTCTAGACTGTCATGATGATTGTTTGGTGGAACTCAATCTTTTCGACTTTATCTTGCCTTTGTAGGCCTTTCCCTTCTGATTTCTCTTTTTTATATTCTTTTTTTTCATCATTTTTTTTATTTTCTTTTCTTCGGAGCATTGGGGAACTTTCGGCTCCTCAAACTTTGCTGCAACGGCTAGTCGTGTGGGACTTAACCTTTTCCAACTTTATTTCGCCTTTGTTGGCCTTTCTTTTCTGGCTTCTTTCTCCCAACTTCAAATTCAGAGCATTTGGGGTGCCTTGGCTTTTTTCAACTCTTTGCTGAGACAGTTAGCCATGTGGGACTCAACCTTTTCAACTTCATTTGCCTTTATAGGCTCTCCATCTGATTTTCTCTTTCCAAGAGTTTTGATTTGAAGCATCGGCCGCCATGGCTAGTCAGGGTTGACTTGATGCCTGTGACGAGGCTGGGTGCCTTTCTGCACATTAGCTCGTGCCAAATGAGAACCCTATAAATTATCTTGCCATCCTTTCTTTGTCTTAGTTTCGGAACAGTGTTAGACCGAAAGGGATTCAAAGAAAACAAACAATGGAATGGAGAATGAGTTTAAAATAAGAAGTGTCCCTTTCGGGGAAAGGAAAGAAGGACTTATCTGGAATACATGCGGACTTCAAAGAACATGACATGCCTTTTGGATTGGATGCATGATCTGTGTAAACCGTCCGACTCTCAGAAATTCATCACAATTTTTTCCTCAAAATCAAAAAACCTTTCCAGGACTCTGTCAGTGCCGATGGCTGTGAGGAACCTCTTTTCTATCAGGGGCGCCCTTTGTGGGTTTTCATGAGCTGACCTCTCTCATTTTTCTTCTCGCCTTATAGTGCTCTTTACGAGTTTTCACTAACAAGACTCTCTTATTTTTCATTTCTCTGCTTACCATCGCCTCATGGTGCCCATGTGGGTTTTCACCAATAAGACTCTCTCATTTTATTTCTCATTTTTATTGCATCGAATCCAAGTAGCCATATTCTCTGATCCTTGAACATTCTCACCGATTGATCGGAAGGACTTGAAAGGATTTGTTTAAAAATTATTTGGATCGAATTACAACATTGGAACTATTCAAGCGGGATCATTGCCGGACCATTACAACATCTGCCCCAGTTTCACTTTTGGGGGAATTTGGATTTTTATTTTGGTGTGACTGAACCCCAGAGAGAGGTTGCCTACGTATCCTTTCAGAATCAAGTCGAACGTAGTTCAGGGAACTTTATTTTTTTTGTTTTTTTTGTTTTGTTTTTGTTTTCCTTTCTTTTTCTTGTCCTTTTCCCTTTTTTCGTTTTTCATTTCATTTTCTTTGTTTTTCTTCCACCTTTTTTCTCTTTTTTTCATTAATTCTTTTTTCATTTTTCAATATTTTTAATAATACTTTCAGGTTCCAAAGAGGGTAATCAAAGAATAGTAACTGGCTCAAAGGCTTTGCAAAGGGTTATAGTGTTTGGGTAGCGAGAATAAAAGTCTTCGTCATCCCAATCAGAGAATATTAATATTATATGGAGGATCAAACATAGTACCTTTTGGCTGCATTTGCATTGACAATTGTTGTAGGTACATTTCCTTCGATGTGTCTNCCTTATGCAAATATAGAGGCAGGGTTTAGCCTCATGCAGGTTCGGGGCATGGCTTAGTCCCATGCAAATGGAAGGCAGGGATTAGCCTTATGTAAATATGGAGGCAGGGCATAGCCTCATGCAAGTTTCGGGACAAGGCTTAGTGATCGCTGCCAACTCCACACTACTAAAAGGTAGGAAGAGAGGGTCGCAATAGCTTTTACCCGATATGAGGGTCGGGATCGATTTCCACAGGGAGCTAGGAATGGGGTCGAGTATCTATCTAGACTAGAGTTGTGTAATTGTTCCAAATGTCACTTCCATACATTTTTGTTTTTTTTATTATAAACTACTATTATCATACTATTAATTGAAATTAGATTATGCTATGAGATAATTTCTAAGCTGTATCTAATGGGAAGAAGGGCACTAGGGTTGTGCAATTACCTAGGTGATTAATTGACGGGTAGATGTTACTAAGGTTCGATTGACATAATTGGGGCTTATGCTATAACCGTTGCACAATTTTACCCACTCTCACACATCTCGATAGAGAGAGTGATTTTTCCCAATTGACTCTTTCGAGACCAAATGAGTAGGAAAATTGGCTCAAGCAACTAGGGTTCAAGTTGGGTAATTACTCTCTCGAGGTTTAACCCTTTAATTGGGACAATCAATTCTCTTGAGTCCATCCCAATTCCTTGTTGGGTCAATTTTGGAGACTTAGGCTCTCTTTCTCAAGAAGAGCCAAGTCAACTTAGCACAAACCAGTGTTTGCAACCACCAATTCATAGATTAAACCATAAAATTGACCCAAATAACAAACACCCATAGTCAATCTAACAATAGATGGAAACACTCATCAATTACCCACACTAGGGTTGAGCCAAAACCCTAGGTAATGGGTTTAGCTACTCATGCTTGAAGGAGAAAATGGAGAAATAGATGAAGAACAAGGCATATTAATTAAATGCTAAATTAAAATACAAGAATCTATCGTTAATTTGAAGCTAAGATGCCAAAAATGGCTACAGATGAGGTTCCCACGAGCGCAACTCAGTTCAAATATATCAGATGATCGAAAAATGGAAAAATGTTCTATTTATACTAGGCTGGAAAAATTGGACAAAAATACCCCTGCGGGGTCAGCGCGGGCCGCATAAAATGGACCGCGGCCGCGCTAGGCTCTTGGACTTCAATTCTGGGCTCTCTGAACTTGGGCTCCGCGGACCGCATAGAATGGACCAAGGCCGCAGAGGCAACTGGCGCGGTCCGCACAATCATGACCGCCAACCGCATGGCTTGAACTTTGGCATTTTCCATCTCTCTGAATCTTTCTTCTGCGGACCGCACAAAAAGGTAGTGCGGCAGCAGAACCTTCACCGCAGACCACACAATATGTACTATGGCCGCGTTGCCTGAAGCCTGATTTTGCCACCTCTCTGAATTACTCTTCCATGGACCGCACAGAAATGTAGTGCGGCTGCGGAACCTTCACCGCAGACCGCACAATATGTACTGCGGCTGCGTTGCCTGAAGCCTGGGTTTGCCATCTGTCTGAATCACCTTGTGCGGCCACGGTCGTTTTTGTGCGGTCCACACTAGGCTTGTTTTCCCTTAGTTTACTTTGTCTTTGATACTTGAGCAGGTTTCACTACTTTTGAGCCGATCTTTAACATTTCGTCACTTTGTTAATTAAACCTGCAATCAAGCACAACTTATGAGCCTTTTGGGACTATTTTGCAACAATTTATAATCAAAGCATAGGCAAGAAGGAGCATGAAACTCGTTAAAATCCCTGCTTATCAACTCCTCCAAACTTAAGCCTTTGCTTGTCCTCAAGCAAACAAAATAAGACCCACCATTTAAGGGAAAATCCAAGTATTTCCAACTATCCTAAAGTAACATCAACAAGCATCAATTGGGACTAACAATTGCCCTCAATACGAATGAATCATTAACAACATTTAAATTTTGAAAAACTATGGATCAAGTGTGACACAAGAGCATCAAGAGTTGACTCATTACATCAAAGAACTCTCTCAATTACTTTGGTCATTGTGGAACCTAAACTCACACATCCTCAACTCTCCCTAAGCAAACCTCACCTTTTAGAGTATTAGTACACAAACCGAGGTTAATGGGAATTCACTCATCTCTCTCAAGGAAAGACCACAAGTCCGGCTCTAAGTACCATATGCTTTCCCCTCATATAAGTATCCACTAATGTAAGCGTCATTCAACTCAAGATCATATAGTCTAAATGGGTTTCAACTTCCTTTAAGCACTTCTTTTGATTCATTTGGCACAATTCTCTTGACTCTTTGAGTAACTCACTTCTTTTTAAGGGGTTAGAGAGACATAATGTCACTCTTTCTTATGCACTTCAAAGCGTTTCTCCTTTTTTCAATTTTTTCCACACTTTTTTTTCTCTTCTTTTCTTTTTTTTTCTTGAATCCCTTTTTATTCCTTTTCATATTGGGCTTTCTTTTTGTCTTTTTCTTTTCTTTTCTTTCCTTTTTCATTGCCTTCCTTTTCTTCGCTTTTGTACCTTTTACCATTGTGTTCCCTCTCTCGTCTCTCCCCCCAAACTTAGACTTTTGCCATTGCTCAGGGGAAGATTGGGTGCCAAAATAGGGTATATTATAGAACGGATATAGGCTTATAGTATTAGTTCATGAAAGAAAAAGGTTTAAGGCTCAAAAGGGTTAACTAGGGATTATATCATTGGTGGGCTATGGAATTGTTCAACTATCATTTGTATCAAGGAGAGCCTATAATCACTTCTCAAGCCAAATTTCACTCAAAAATTCGCCTAAACAGACATTCAGGGCAAGTTCCAAACCATTGGCTCGGGACTTAGACTCACAGTTTGATTTCTCACAACACAAGCTCAAGGATTGATAAAGACATAGAGTCGGGGGCCAACAACAACCTTAGACACGATTGAGCACACAATAGTCCCGAAAGACCACATGATGATTGTTTGGTTAACACAAGAGTCTGAAGGTCATGACGTTCACCATCCTAAATACAACAACTTGTCTTTGATCATAGGATCAAAGGAAAATGTGTTAGGCCCAAGTGAAGCTTTGCTTGAGGTACCCTTAACCATAAGCTACCAAAAATAAAAACAAAAACGGACTCAAACCTTTAAGAAGGTTGTCACGCCATCCATCATCGGGAAGAGCCACCCGGTTCACACAATACTCCACCTTTGAAAAGAACCGTGGCATTAAGAAAATCAAAGGCTTAGTGAAGCGCCAAAAACGAAACAAAAAGCTACCATCCTATCTAAGAAGCTAAAACTGATTTTTTTTATGAAACTAGAAAATAGAATGAATATGTACAATAGGGGATTTGAATATACAACGGGGGATAAATATATACAATAATGTAACTTTATATACAGAACAAAGGGAAGATAAAAATGCGATAAAAGTAGCTAAATGTAAAGTTATATACAGACCAATAGAAAATCAAAAAGATATAAAATGTAACAATATATACAATCATCCAAAAATGTAGGGCGCACCCCCTCAAATAAAAGCTGGCATTGTCCCCAATGCCAACTAAACAAGTAAGCACCAAAAAGTGTAAGGAAAGAATGTGAGGACTCCCTAAGCCGTGTCCGTCTGCATGGGATCATCAGTAGTCCCTGGGTCCTCTAAATGTGCGGGAACCTCAGACTGGTTCCCGGTCTCCTACTGCTCAACTGTTGGGAATGGGGCCTGGAACTGGACGGGCTGAATATCAGGAACATCTTGTAGCTGACTGGAGGAGTCCTCCGGTGGGTCCGCCAATTGGATGATCGCCTCATCTGCACTAGGGAGCTTCCTCTTCTTCTTAGGAAGCCTCTGTGTCTGCTCCTGCTATGGCTCTGCTGCTGGTACTGCTGCTGGAGCTGGATCCTCAAATAGCAAATCTAAAGGCAGCTGGTCTGCCTTCAGTTTGTCCACATCCACTCTAAGCTCCTTCACAGACTCCTTGGAAGCCCGTGTTTTGTGCATCTTCTTGTGCTCTTTGGCAGGCTCATTCAGGGCCTTGCCATGTGAATCTACTGCCTTAGCCAAGGTAGCCTAAGAATTAAGGATCTTCTGCTGGTTGGCAAGAATCTCCTTAAGTGAATCCTTGATAGACTGGGGCACTTGCATTGGCTGTGGTGCCAACTGAGCCATAATGGTGGAGGTCAATGTAGACAACTTGGAAGAAGCAGTCGCCATCCAGTTGTTCAAGCTATGTAGTGTCTAACTCAGCTGGTAGGCGGTGATAGGATAGGCCCGGGAAGATGGAATCCCCAGGCCAGCTGAAGTAGAGGGACCATCAATAGTGGAAGGTTCGAGAGGCATGTCAGCAACTGTGGAGGCAGGCTCAGTAGAGGGCTCTACCTCAATCGGCTCTTCAGACTGGCTAGTTAGGGCAGAAGCAGGCGACTTGTAATTCTTGTCCTTAGGGTTGTCTGACCCCTTAAAACTATACCACGAAACAGAGCCACATGTTTGACCTTGGTGTCAAAAGGTCTCTTCTCCACCTCCAGGTCTCGGAAATACATAGTGAGGGTGCTGGGAAAAGGGTAGTTCCAGTCATGCTCAACACCCACTGCAGAAATGACGCGGGACATCACATTGCCCATGTTGATAGGGTGTCCCGCCATAATAGATGCAACAAGAACAACCCGGGAAAGTGGAATAGTCTGGTCATGGGTAGTGGGGTCAAGCCGACTGCACACAAAAGTCAACCACCCCCTAGCCTCAAAGTTAAAGGTCCTCCGAAGTATTTTGGACCCTGCTTGCAACCACTCTGGAACCGTACCCGGTATTTCCAGGTATGAAGCTAACCACGGACGAACCTCCTCTCCCATTGTCAACTTTTCATTGTAAAGGGACTCATCTTCTTCATTGAACCCCAGGTATTTATTTAGTGCCTTTCCGGTAAATACCACATTTTTGTTTCGCACTTTGGTCACTTTAGTGCCCTTTAAGATGTGGGCCACATTGCTATAAAACTCTTTGACCATGTTCTCATTCGCCTTCACACAATTATCTTTAAAGTGCTCCCAACCCATTGGAGCTCAAAACTGTCTATGTACATCGGGGTGTAGGGTAGAAGGTCTTTGTCAATGAAGCTCCTCTCAAGAATCAACTTTCGTGACGGCCACCATTCCTTAAATTTGTGGAACGCCACCTGGCTGACGAATCTATCTTCCCAAATAGCGGGATTTCTAGTCCGGTCAACACCCCCAACCTAAGGCACACCACCCCCAGGTAACTCCCCATCTCCCTCATCACCTCTACCACCCTCTCCAGATATTAAAGTTGTGGGAGAGGTAGAGTATCCATCCCCACTACCTGCTGCTGAGCCCTTAGACGACCCAAAAGAAATGTTGATTGAAGCTTGAGCATCGGGGGAAGAAGGAGGAGTGTCTCTATGTATGTACCTCTCCGGATACGGGATGTATAGTGGGACTGAATCCGAAGAGATCTCCCGGGAGGGCTCGTACTAACTCCCCAAGTTGTCAATGGCTTTGTCAGCCGCTTTTATGGCCTTCCTCATGTCTTTGATGTTTTTTCTAGCCTGGGAAGTGAGTTTTACCATCCTTTGCTTCCCTCTCCAGGAGGAATCACCTCGGCCGGGTTGTTTCGATCCTTTGTCTCATTGTTTAACCATTGTCTGCAAGCACAAACATCTAGCTTTGTTAGTATCAGCACATCAGGGAATCAGTTGTGGAAAATGAATTGCAGAATAGAAGCCAAAAGTTGCAGAAAATGTTGCAGACACAGTGCACCGCGGCCCGTACAAAAAGGAGTGCGGCCGCACTAGGGGCACCGTGGACCGCATAAAAGCCACCGCAATCCGCATTGGGGCAAGTTCCATAAAACCACTTCACTGAATCTAGCCACAGCGACCCGCACAAAGTGGTATCGCGGCTACGGTGGGCCAGCTTGGACTGCACAAGATGTAGTGCCACCACGCTGGGCAACATGTTAGTTTCCTAAAAACGACCGCACAACAACGACCGCGGTCTGCGGTGGGTACTTGGTCAAGGCAATGAGTTAGGGTTCTTGGTCTTGCAATTTAGTTCAATTCAAACCTAGTTAGGGTCCCTACTTAGTTTACCCAGTTCATTATACCTCCCAGGCACACAAAAAACTACGTTTAAGCTAACCTACGCTAACAAATAGAGAAATACAGGAAGAAGAAGAAGTTACAGGCTAATGGCAGTGAAATAAAAACTAAATTATAAAATTAAGCACAAAGAAATGGTTGAAATGTTACCAAATGTGGATACAAAATGCAGATAATCACTTTAAACAAGAATCACAGTCAATAGGGAAGATGAACAGTAACTTTTAGGTCATTGAGAGTCAATTTTTTGAAAAGGGTAATCGGTGACCCATGTGGTCTATTTATAGAAAAATATGTGGGAACCATTTTTACCTACCAGCGCGGCCGCACAAAACGGACAGCGGACGGCGCTGGGTTTGTTCAAAAAAAGTCTGAGAAGGCAATCCTCCGCGGTCCACACAAAACAGACCGCGACCGAGGAGATCCA